AATACTTCAGGGTATATCTGGACTTTGAAAACCGCTGTGCAGCCTGCATTTGTCATCTTTTGCCACTTTCATGTTTGCTGCTTTAACTATTTCTGATGCTTTATATTTTTCCATGACTGGTGTTCTGAGAGGAAGAAGGAAAAGTTATTTCCTCGAAATGCATTGATGAATTGCGAAAGTTTATTTCAATTCAGCTCAAGGCAGCAATCAAATTAGCCTCATTGGTGATTCACTGGGAGGAAACTTTGTTAATGCAAATATTTTATCAGTTATTATGAATAGTGAAAGGTATTATTGGCAATTAAATTACATTAAAAAATGTGTTAATATTTTATTTTAAGATTAAATGATGGAGACAACAGAATAACTCATGATTTCGAAAGTACTCAGCTAAAGCAAATATGAATCTGTGGGATAATTTGGGTTAGAAGTATAAATGAAACTTAAATAAAAAAATTTTTTAGCTAAAAATGGAGGAGACTAAGATTGTTTGAAGTTCAGTTAATTCTGTAATCAATGAAAAAAAAGGCAGACCTACAGTATATAAGATATATTTTCCTCCTGTTCCCTTTTTCAATTGTTCATTAATTATTATGAAAACAAATGTGCTAAATGGAAACAGAAATTTAAAAAACTTGTTTTTTTTTTCATTTAAAAGTTTTTATGCATAAAATGTCTTTTTCGTTCGCATTGAAATTGTTGCACTTCGCAAATCTCTAATGGAAAATTTTTTTTTTGCATCATACGAGTCACTAAGATCTTCGGATGGACCTCGCTGCCTTGTGAAAAGAAGAAGTAGTTGGAGGATGACGGTGCCACTATAGCTTTGGCTGAAATATGAAACCTCTGTCTCATCTGCTGCTGCCACTTGCAATTTTAAATTGCATTTGTTATGTAATGTAAAAAACGGTATTTCTGAAACTTTGCGTTTTCGAATTTAGCTGAATGTCTACATAGTTTTGACAAACGCAGCTACTGTCTATGGAAGCCCGTTTCCGCCACTCTGTAAAAAAAAAAAAAAAAAAACTATCTCAATATAATGATATAGTAACTCAATATAATGAGATACAATCTCATTATAATGAGATAGTATCTCAATATAATGAGATAGTAACTCTGAACTGTTGTTCGGCCCGTTAGCACAGACAACAGTCAGAACCCGTCCCCCCACCCTTAGGCGGAGCCCTCTCTTTCACCGGGATGAACCCCAACGTACAGGCGCCGAGATGGGGGGCAACAAGTATGCCCACTCCTGCCCAGCGCCTCTCACTGTGGGCAACTCCAGAGTGGAAGTATGTCCAGCCCCTCTATAGGAGACTGGTTCCAGAACCAGAACCATACGTCGAGGTGAGACAGACTATTTCTAGCCGGAACCTCTCAGCCTCACACACTAGCTCCGGTCCCTTCCCACCAGCGAGGTGACATTCCACATCCCAAGAGCCAGCTTCTGCAGCCGAAGATCGGACCACCAGGGTCCCCTCCCCCGGCCAACACACATTGCATACGACCCTTATGGCCCCTCTCACGGGTGGTGGGCCCATGTAAGGGGGGACCCAACAATTCACACTGATTTTGGGTCAATAGGTCACATGACCTGGGAGCTATTGACCAAAAATACTCAATTTTAACTTAAAAAATTGGTAAAAATAAAAAAAGAGTTAAAATGAAAGACAAATGAGTGTGCCCCATCTACAGAGACTAGTAGAAAAATTTTACACTGATTTTGGGTCAATAGGTCACATGACCTGGGAGCTATTGAAGAAAAATACTCAATTTTAACTTAAAAAATTGCTAAAAAATAAAAAAAGAGTTAAAATGAGAAATAAGTGTGCCCCATCTATAGAGACTAGTAGAACCATTTCACACTGATTTTGGGTCAATAGGTCACATGACCTGGGAGCTATCGACGAAAAATACTCAATTTTAACTAAAAAATTGGTAAAAAAATAAAAAAAGAGTTAAAATGAAAAATAAATGAGTGTGCCCCATCTACAGAAAAATTGGTAAAAAAATAAAAAAAAACTATCTCAATATAATGAGATAGTAACTCAATATAATGAGATAGTATCTCATTATAATGAGATAGTATCTCAATATAATGAGATAGTATCTCATTATAATGAGATAGTATCTCATTATAATGAGATAGTTTTTTTTTTTTTTTTTTTTTTTTTTTTTACAGAGTGGCGGACACGGGCTTCCATAACTGTCACACCAACCCCAAGGCAACTTGACGTCCGAAAAATGTCAGGACTTATATCGTCACAGAATTTATTCAGAACCTAAAGAATAAAGCCTTTTTTGTTCTTAACTAGAAGTGTTTAAATTGATCACCGTACATTTCAATTCAAACCATTTGAAAATCATTGAAGTCATAAACACAGTGATATATTTTAAACACTTATTTCTGTTTTAGTGTGTTGATTTTGGTGCACAGCTAATGAAAGATCAGTTAGTCAGATTTATAAGATATGATCAATTAAAGGATTTTATTGTACAGTATATCCACTAAGTTGTGGCCTTCTTTTGCAGGATTTACTGAATCAATAGTAGAGTACATGGGCAATGCTAATGTTTTCAAAAGGCCAAGGTTGGTGCACTAGTTGCCTTTGGTTTGTTTGCAATGTTGGCTCTAATGTCTCTCATCTCCTTCTTAACAATAAAGCACAGATCTTTTATGGGCTTTAGGTGCTTGCTGGCCTTTTAAACATGGTGAAGATCAAGATCATTGAAGCAGGTATCACTTATTGTGATCAAATGGATACATTTTGATAAACAAAAGGTTTGCATTTCAATTTGCTCTTATCCAACTTCATCAAAAGGAATTAAAATACCGGTATGCGTTCAAAATATGCCAGTTTTTATGTAGTGACTTAGTAGAATTTAGGACCTTTTCTTCTTAGATTGTATTACTTTGATACTGTAAATTATATGCCTTTAATTACTGGCTTCAGACTCTTCGTTCATAGAGATAAAAGCTCTAGGGGTATTTTAACATTTTATGGTCGAATTAAGGTCAGATGTAATGCGATAAGTATTGATTTAAAAAAAACAGTTAAACACAGGACCAATCAGCTTCATCATAAATCCAATTCCCTCTTTAAAACCGGGCTCCACTTTCTATGGAGTTACAACAACGAAGTGCAGAGCTGCCATATAACCATAGGCCTCGTGTTTAGCCTGGTTTATGTTTTCAAATCAATTAAAGTGTACTGTTCTAAAACTGATTTCACGCCCTCGAACACGTCAGCTTGGATCAACATCATTTGAGATGTAATCTGGGCTTTTAGCTTTGCTGTCTCTACGTTGCAGGCACATAGTGCTTTAAATCAGCTTTAACATTTTCTCTGTGTCAACATCCATTCTGACTGCAGAATGAAGCTATCATGTCTGAAACTGAGCAGTCTTTTATTCTGTCAAACAACATCCCAAGGAGAATGGTGAAGCCCTAAAAGGAAGACCTAGAAGCTTTTTTTTTTGGATAGCACAAATAGGAAATGTTCTTTAACTTATTATTGATGGATCAGCTTCCTCGGTCTGCAAACAAGCTTCTTAGACTTGATGTTTCATTTTTGTCTCTTTAACCTGTACAGACTTGCCATTTCTGAAAGCAAGATATTGTTTTAAGACAATCAGCATTGCAGAACATGAGGCAATTAGAACGTGCATAAACTGGAAGCCAGTTTCAATGGATTCAATTTGTTTTTACAATAAAGTTTTCTCTCATGTTTATCTGCTTAGATCACTGACTGAACTTAACTGCTTGCCCAGAAAAGACACAACACTGCAACTGATGCTGCACATTTTTAGATTTCTGAATTCTGCATTTTAAACCAGGAATTAGAAGAATAACCATGAACACCTCCAGCGTTGTAGCCAGATAACTCTGCTGTAAATCTGTGTACCAAGCTTTTTAAATGATTGAAAGAAAAGTAACTTATACTTCTTGAAGATTTAAGATTATTTCTCTTTGACCAAGTATTAGATTATATGTTCTTAAAAGATAAGGAGGTTTTTGTTTACCATTGCTAATTTACGTTTGAATATTTTTTATTACCCCTTTTTATATAAAATATCAGCATGGGAGTTGTAGCAATCAATCCCTTTTTAGAAATGCTGGCTACTGTTTGCATGTTTTATTATCTATTGTGACAAACTCCACGCTTTGAGGTTGTAAGGCCTCTCAGCTATAACCCTAATCTTTAGCTCCCTCCATGGATTCTCCTTAAGATCCAAGTCAGGAATGATTGAGCCACTCATTAAAGGTAATAGCCTTTTTAAAATTAAGAGATTGCTTAAGATTAAAACCTGTCAAGGGAATAAAGAATTTGGAGTTAAACTGTAGTTTATCGTGTTTAAATAAATAAACTATGAATTTATTTATATTGTGTCATAATTTTATTTATCATTTTTTAGATTCATTAAATAAGTTGTTACTGTATCTGTATTGTTGTAGGCCTGATATAAGCAATTATTTTAACCTTAATGTTTAATTGCTCTTAACCTTAATGTTTAATTGCTCTTAATAGTTGTTGAACTCCATGTTTGCTCCTTTGGGCTGCTTTGCAAATAGTCATATTCACCATCAATTATGCAGAAGTTAAAGAATTCTTGTTATTCCCCTGTATATACTGCGAAGGGGCTGCATTAGTGTCCTTAAAGAATTGTCATTGTGCTGCTGGGTGCCGCGTAAGTTCATGTGAGTAATTAAGACGCTGTTCATTATCATCAGTTACACTTCCTTTGGTTCCTGACAGCTGCGCTGCTGCGTGGAGGCTATTTTTTCCTCTTTCTGATTCATGTTTGCATAATGAATTCATCGCGTTGCGGTCCCAGCTCTGTTGACTATTCATGGTGTAGACACAGACCCTCCCATGAGTGCTGAATCACATCCCTGTGGGCATGTTGCATACAGTACCGCTTCCACACCCCTCTTCCACCAACCCTGGCACTCGGTGTTTGGGTATTTCTTCTGACTTGCACTTTCCTATTGTTGGCAGGTACCACTCGGCAGCCCAGGGAGGGGGAGGTACCCGGAGTGGACTACAACTTCATCAGTGTGGAAGAGTTTCAGGAGCTGGAAGAAAGTGGGATCCTACTGGAAAGCGGGACATATGACGGTATGTTTTTCAATGCAATGCAAAAGGCAATGGATAAAAAACAACAGTATATATGCATTTGAAAACTATTTACATCATTTTAAATACTTAATTTACTTTTAACGATGCCTCAAGGAGCTTTACAAAACAAATAGGTGCAGCTCATAACCAGTTGTATAAAGCAAGGGTTCCCAAAGTGGGGGTTGAGGGGCACCAAGAAGGAGGTTGCAAGATGGTTTTCACAATCATTGTGATTTGCCCGAGCAAGAACACCAGGTTTAACAAAGGTTTCTACTCTGCAGTTGATAAGGGAGAAAGTGCACCAGATGCATTACAGAAAAGCATGTAGTTAATGCGTGATACATCGTTCTGTTAAATTATTTGCAGTAGATGCCCGCATTACGCTCATAAATATGCCGCGATGCACTAATTTAGATTGATTTATTTTCAGATGTGTAGGCGCTCCTGTTGGGCAAAAAGGAAACAGGAAAACATCTGGTGTCAAAGTTCCTCTCACAAACACCACATATATTAGTAGAAGTAAGGCTAAAGTACACCTTCTACTAGGACAGGCAGGCTTTTACTACAAAGTAACGTACAAAAAAAGCTAAAGTTGTTCAGTCCTGCACGCTCAGTTGGAAGTAAAATATGTGATTATTTAATCGGATGGTAAAAAAATGACTTTAAGGTGATCAAAACAGGAATTATTAGTTATAATTTCAGATGGAATGGATTAAATGAGCTCAAAGTTTAACTACAACCCAGTAGAATGTGGTTTATAGGATCGGTGGCAAAAATGGTACTAATGATATTATTAATATTTAAATAATTGCACATTCAGTTATGAAAATGTAGGTTTTAATGTGTGGGAGAGATGAATAATTGTTAAGTTACAATTTTCTTTTATTTATTTTTTTACTTTAATTGTTAAAAATAAATTACTATAATATGAAATACTTTGCCCAAATGTCACTGATTAAATTCCTTACCCATGTAGTGAGAGTTCTTCTCTGCTCAGAACCCCTTGCTGGGGAGCATACTGGTGTAAATTTCAGTTTACAGCCTAAGTCCTCCTAGTTCCTTCAGTGGAGCCAGAATGTAAAATAACCCTCCATATGGAAATTATTACTCATGTCTTTTTGCTTTCTGTCAACTTTGCCATGAGAATATATGAATGAAAGCATATTTTCCGAAAATGTAAATATAGTATGACATTTTATGCGAAGAAGAGGCTAAAACAGATATGAATTAACGTGCAAAAGGCCAGATTACAAATAGCTCTGGTCTCTGTATTATAAAACTATTTATTTCTTATAATAGATTGATGTGGATTAGAACTACCAGAGGGCAACCAGGTGCTAAACTATCAGCATAATTTTTTTCAGTTTTACCAGTGTGAAATGAACTATTCTTGATGGAGGAGAACGGGTACAACTCGTTATAAAGATAGAAAGTCCTCCCCAGAGTGACCTGAGAATTACACTGTTGCTATAATTGACCGCCTCAGTCCATCTCTCCGACATGCCTGCCGGAATGAAATTGTCTTGTATATTTGCTGAGCTCTGCATCAAGAGAAATCAACACATTGCTCATGTCATCAAATTCCCACTGCAGAGATAAAGAACTGGAGGTAATCTCTTCACACATGATTTAGTTCTCTGCAGCAGATTCATCTCGGCCATCCACACAAATGTGTTGAAATGCATGGGCTATGTAAGACCTTTCTGGTGCGCACACATTTAGCCCTGAGTGACTTGGCTTTCCACCTTGAGCCTCTGAACTTGTCTTCAGGATGAATAATGGATCTGCTCAGTCCTTTCCTGCTTAATGTAATGCATATATATGTCTGCTGAAGGCACAGGCCCATAAGCCCTTAGAGATTAATTATTAACGCCCAGCTACCTGACCTCTGGGACACCACACAGTGATTGTTCAATAAAAATTTCACATGGTAACACACCTGATGGTAGACATGCAGTGCTGAACATGGTGGCTAACCTTGTAGCGGCAGGTGCTAGTTGTAGTGGCGGAAATAAACCAATAAATTGAGACAAAAGGGTGATCTTGTCTGATCAAATGCCACTTTCGTCTGTGTTGTTTTTGTGACCTATTTTCTTTACCTTGCAGTTTGTAATTTACCTTTTACAGTTTGAATGTCTGGTTTATGTCTTCTCTCATTTGTGACACTTATTGCTGCAAGAACAATTTTCTTCCTGCAACTTGAGCCAAAAGTATTTAAACGCTCTGGGGAAACCACTCTCCATTTCCAAGCTACAGTGTGTACTTTTTTTATTTATTTCGTCAGTCATTGTTTTATTGTCTTTCTGCCAGCCTACTTACTCTATCCTTTCTTTATATGTGGCTGAGTAAAAGGAAAGATTGACCTGGGCAGTCATGTTTACAGCTGTGACTAATGTTCCCGACCTGTGAGCAACAGAAGCTTCATGGGGCCGCAGTTAATCTGCAACCAAAAGCGATACTGTTTTGCTGGACCCAGTAACTGCAACCGTGGGACTTTTACAGACAGTTTGTTATGCTGGTAGCCAATAAAAAAAACTTGTTACAGAAGGCTATTATTTGAAAATGGTTGAGCGTCAGATTTGTGAGGTCGGCTCACTGCTTTCCTCAATTACATTTTCAGTGTTGGTCTTTGAATCACTTAGAGTTGTGTTGGCTAAAGTAATTTGACACATACATCTACAAGTTTCTATGATTTACGGAAGAAATAATGAGATTATGATGGATCTGTTTGAAAAATAATAAATGTGGGACCTCTTCCAGCCTTGTTTGTCACTGTTCCAGTTGTTTTAAACTTCTTAATGATTCTTTGACTGTAGATACGGTCAAGTTAAGGTGAGTGGCTATTTTCTTGTAGCCATTTCCTGTCTTATGAGGGTCGACACACATCTGCCTTTACTTGAAGGTAGTTCTTGTTCTAGTTCTATTGTCTTTTCAATGTTGACAAATGGGTAAGAGAATTAGGCCTCTGTAACACTTCATATTTATACCCCAGGGAATTACTCATTAGAAGTTCCAAGATACTTTTAAAAACTTTAGCAACTACAGAAAAATATATTTAAAGGAAATAAATTTTTCAGCGGAATTGTTAGGAGTGCCAATAATTGTGCCAATAATAATTGCCAATAATAATAATAATATTCACCACCAGAGCAATGCACTTAAATAAAAGGTTGAATTTTTTTGTATTTGGGTTCAATGTCGTTTAGAAAAAAGGAGAATTTTTAGAGCTACTCGACCGCATCTTAAACATGGGTGCCAATAATTGTGGAGGGCACTGTATTTATGAACACTCGCCCCAGGAATCACAAACTAAGCACTCTGTGTCCATTGATACTGTCATTCTTCTGTCCCTCCTTATCCTTATCTCCTTATTCCTTATCATAGGTGAGAGGTGGGTTGCAAAACAGAGACAGGACAGACAACCATGCACACACACCAAATAATGAGGGCGAAGTTATTAAGTTAGCATCCATGTTTTTTGCTTTGGGAATGTGTCAGAGTACCTGAAGGGAAGCCAGGTGTTGACTGTGAGTAAATAAAAAACCCGATGGCTAATATTAAAACCAAGGACCTTCTTGCTGCTCTGTGCTGCTCACTTTGTCAGCTTTTATCTAAAAGTGGAATTTTCAGAATGTGAAGTACAAGGGCTTTCTGTTGTACTAGCTTGTGTTTGTTTTTTCTACCTACATGCATCATAGTCCTGGCTGGCCTTGAATCCATTAAATATTTATTGATTTTCCTATTTGAGGAATTTTGATAGGTCCTGACCATATTGCAACAAAAGCATTACCAATTAGCAGCATTGGAAATGTTATATTACAGTAAAGAAAAAAATAATGTATTAAGTATGGTACAGTGGTAGCCATTCAAAATTTCCCCACTTTCCTTGATTGGCTCTCGGCTGGTCCCCTATGATTCCTTTTTGAAACATCAATCTTTGTACTAAAATATTCTTTCTGCCATGATTTGTGGATATTAAGATCTAAAGAGACGCATTATATCCTGGTCAGACCCTGTAATTCAGTGAAAGGGCTCACTCCAGTGGATGGAGGTTGGCTGCTATTCGGCTGGCATTTGACTGGGAAGGGCCATTTTGAACGACTGCTACTGTTTGCATACATTGACATACATTGAAAAAAAATCCCAAAAACTGATTATTGTGTCATCTGCTTTAGTGTTTGCTGGGTGACAAAGGTGTGGATCAGACATGTGTGTCGACTTGTTTACAATTACAAGTGTGTAAAAGTCCTTTTAATTCACCTAGAAAGATCTCACTTTAATTGTGTAGGAGATTCCTTACTAATGGAGGAGTTTATTCAGACCTTGTTTTTTTTGTCGATCAAGGTAAATGAAACTTGATCAACTTAAAAATTATACAATGTGGAGCTCAACCAGCTAGAGAGACAATATCAACCAAAGTGTTTAAACTGGCTTTAATTAACATATGATCTCTGTCAGAAAAGTCATTTTTAATCAATGATTTAATTACTTAGCAAAATCTTGATTTTATGTTTTTAACATGGCTAGATGAAAGTAATGAGAAGCCAGTTTTATTGGAGACTGCACCTCCCAAGTACAATTTTCTCCATCAGAACAGACTGGGAAAGGGATCCTGGGTGACTTTGTATCTTTGAATATCTGGCTGTCCAAGTACAAGACCTTGATCGAGTCATGTCTCTGAATGTTTACAGGCCTTCAAAAACCAAAGCAAACATTTTTAGCAATTTTAATTAGCTTTTATCTGTGATATATATCGAGCATGACTACTTAATGATCGTGGGGGACATTTATATATAAAAAAAAATGTAAAAAAAAAAATCCAGTGGAGTTTTTTTTTTCCAAGTTTGAAGACATTTCGCTTCCCATCCAGGAAGCTTTTTCAATTCAAAATGTCAGAAATGGTGTTTGAGGCTTTATAGAGTGGACCAAAAACAAAGCCTTGTTTTGGCTTAGAAAACATGCAAATGTGTTATATACATGTTGATAACCCTGAGGACAGA